ACTTGATGGATGGAGGAAGCCCTAAAGAGGAAGAAGCTCCAGCAACTTTATTTTTATATCCCACAGCTTATATATCCCGGCAAAACTCTCAAGTAGCATAAAAATTAGAACGTGATTACATTCTATTTTCTTCTAGTGAATGATCACGATGAATATATAGAAAAACATGTTTTCTAATACCTTCACATGATCAAATGTTTTATTTATTATGGGTGAAAAACAAATTATTCCCAAGAACCCACACACATTTGTCACTAAGCAACTTATTAACAAAGTATAAGCAAAGATTAACAAAGTGTAAGCAAGCAAGGTAATTTTTTCAATGAATTTCTCTTTACTGGCAGGCTGCAATTTGTGGTTACAAAGAAATAATCATTTTCTTATATATCTTAAAAGGTAATCTTATAAAAATCTTAAAAGTATCACAAATCCAAACTTTTATATAAAAACAATCACTCATTTCTACTTAAATCCTCAGGGTGCACAGCTACTCATTAACAATTTTTATTAAATCATATCAGGAAGCTGAGGGAAAAAAAATGGGTACAAGAAATTAATCATCATCTTGATCACCAGCCCAGCTTCAGTGAGATTGTCACATCAGCCAGTGCTAATTTGGGCTATTGTTCTTTCTCCCTAACCTAAAAACAAACAAACAAACACTTCAAATAGTTGAATCCCTGGCTCAACTATTAAGAGTGTAAGAGTGTGCCTTTCTGAACTTCAAATTGTTCCTCAAGACTTCATGAATCAGAACCACTGACAAACATATCTTACCTAACCTTACTGAACAATCTATTTTTTCAATTTTTTTCTAAGGGTGGTGGTCATTAATAAGATCTACACCTCTAAGTTCTTTGCAAGGGCGCTTGAATCGTGAACCTGCTCCAGCAGCAATGCCTGGAAGAGATCAAGCACTATTACTGTAACTGCCAATGACACTGCCCATGAGGGGCTGGAAGCCCTTAGAGTTTCCATACAGCTCACAGGTTATGAGGGGTTGGAGACCACGAAGGCAGCAAGCAGAGCGATGCTCCACGACAGCCTGACGTCCTCAGGAGACGCAGTCCCCAGGCTCTGCCTCTCTCACACCAGAGAGTACTTCAACTAGATTCTGAGTTTGAAACCTGTAGGAGACAATATCTGAAGCTTTCTCTCATAAGACAGTAACAGGCAAAAGGTGAAATTATGGACCCGGAAGAAAGAACACCCA